AAAAAACGTATTTTACAGCAAAATTTAAACGGGCATTTAAAAAATACTACCGCCGGAACAGCACAACAGCGGTATATGCTGGGTATTTAAACTTCCGCGTCAACAGGTTAAGTATTATTTGGATGAGCTTGGGCTTCAAAAAGGCAATGGATTAAAAATACGTGAGATACATATATTAATTTTAAAAAGTATGATGATGTATGATGTCTATAATATGAAATCATTCGCAAATGGAGATTTGCATAACAGTTTATTTCCTCACACAGACATCGAATTCACTTCCTCTAATTCATGATGTTTTTATTTCACCACTAAATCCACGTCATTATATTCGTCTGATTGTTTAATTTTTCAGGCAATTTTTGTACTGTTATCATTCGAGGATAACTTACTGTCTGTAACATGTGCGTCATTTTAAATTTAATTAACCATTCTTATTATCATTGTTGCTGTTTCACGTATATTTACAGATCTCCGGAAATCATGAAGAATCTATACAGATTCTTCTGGTCATATTTGCTTTTCTTTGTCAAATACAGGCATGTTGTTGGTTTGGAAATGAACTAACAATACAGGTATGTAGAAACAACTATTACTTTCATTAGAAATCTAATAAAGTGAACATCGTTTATGGATATTAGCTCTCAAAATCAAACTAAAACCTCCCCTCATGAACCCTGAAGACGTTATCTCTAGAATTCCATTGTTTCTTAATCTGAAGTCCTCTGACAATGAATCCAAATATATTTTAGTCGGAAATCTTGGATAGAAGATACCACTTGGGACATCCAGATACAGTCTAGGTGGGAGAACAGCATCACGATGTATCTTGAATTACAGTTAAACAGACTAATAACAATGAGTTTGGATGGGGAATAAAATTTAAGTCTGCTTAAGTGACTTGGAAGTACTTTAAGCAATAAGCATATGGCACATCCATTTGTAAAATTTCACGACATATAATGATGTTGTAAGAGTTTATAATCTTTTTTGGTTTCTGATCCATACAAATCTTATTACTTTAATAACCCCTCATTAATACCCACGAAATAAGCAAATAATCTTGACGATGTTTTAGTCCGGCAGAGTGCGGGATGCAGCGTGGGGAAGTGAGTGGATAGGCTCGCCGATCTCCCATCAGCGGTCCATTAATATCATGATGACTGTATCAAAGGAGTTTAGTGTCACTGCAGGAAAGATCATACCTGTGTCACGTCACACTATGATGACGGTAAGCTGTCCACGAGGCAACGGAAAACTTCGGTCGACGCGGAAGATTAAGTCAAAATTTCTTACTAAAAAAAATCTGCCGAGAAAATAAAAGATTCTGCTGCGAGTGAGAGAGTTTAATGTTTCAAATTATTGTAAATACTAAGCTGAACTTCGAGTTTAATGTTTCAGTCTTAATTACTCTACTCTTGAAGTTATATCGAATACGAATGACAAAATTAATTTGAAATTATTACTCGTTAAAATATTATAGGAAATCTCACATCGAAGTAAAGGATTTGTCTGCGAGAGAAATGAGCCTAAGTATTTGCTGAAATCTTGCTTATGTTCGAAATTTATCTCGACTGTCGAATGAAAAACGGTAAGAACATGAGTCACACCAATAATGATTAGTGTCTAATTAGTGTACAAAACTATAATTTCGCTGTATATTATTTTCATGGGTGTAGATACTGTTTACTCACATTGAGGGAAAATACAGACAGAGAGTGTTTGAGAAGAGGGTGCTGAGAACAATATTTAGACCAAAGATGGACGAAATTACAAGAGATTGGAAAACAAAAAAATAGTCAATGAGGAGCTCCATAATTTGTAAACTATTAGGATGGTGAAATAAAGAAGAATAAGATGAAATGAACACGTAGTACGCAAGGGAAAATGAGAAATGCATAGCAAATATAGAATGGAAATGATACATAAAAAAAAACAACTAGGAAGACCTAGGCGTATACAGGAGGATAATATTAAAATGTATTTTAAGAAAATCAGGGGTAATGGGTCCAGGGGCGGGTTTCTGTGAAAACGGTAATGGAACCTCGCTTTCCATAAAAGGCGAATAATTTCTTTACTACCTGAGCGACTCCGAGTTTCTCAAGACTCCAATGCATGGACTTGGTCGGATAGTTTATTGATTCGAAAAGAAGAATTTCGCTATTTCAAACTGTTATTTTCTTTGCTACAGGTGATGAATCAGGCATACACATACCTCATGTTCCTCGTGAACTTTATGGAACGTTCTTCAACCAGACGAGGCATCTAATAATGACGACGTGTTTAGAAAGGTCCATGAGCTTCTAGACCAGTTACATTCTAATCACGAAAGACAAATAACACATTTTTGTTGTGAAAAATATTAAAAATGTACACATGTCACCGTTCCATCAAACTATTAATGTATAGTTTTATATGCTTGATATCCAACCCAGGACCTTCTGAATATCATTCTAGTATGTAAATGTAATGCAAACGCCTTATACAGACGAAATACGAAATTCTTGATCCGACAGGATATGAGGATATCAACAAGTCCAGACGTCGTTACATTACAAAACCAGTTCCAAATTTCAAGAAGATCCTTACAGAAATTAGCCGCTAGATATCTACAGTCGCTAATTACCGGTGAAGAGGTTAGGATATATAATCTATTTCTTGTTTTGGCAACTGATGCGCTTGCGCAGGGGACCAATGGTAATGACGTCATCAAAATCCCACCTCCCAAATTTTCAGAATCCCTCACATTTATATTACAGACTCTACAGCGAGAACCATGAGCCAAGCAAAACATAAACGAAATCAGATAAAACCAAAGTAAGCTAAAAAAATATATAATGACAACCATATATGTCAGTATCTTCGCCAAAACATCAGCAGCAGTTAAGTTGAAGTAGCTAGAAATACGAGGTGTGACTATTAAGTTCCCCGGAATACCAGTTTCTATGACGCATCTAGTAACGAATGAGCAGTAACTAAGCAGAGACATGTTATAGAATGTCTGTGGTTACGCCTTGTGTGTTGGTGAAGCAATGGTCAGAGTTACAAAAGCGTGTGGTTTTGCCCCGGTAGAAGACCTTGGAATTTTTGGCCTGTTGATTGAATCTCGCAACATGATAATTATCCTGTTCATGACGTGCTCGCTGTCCGGAAGTGTTCACAAAAAAAACAAACACTAAAATTGGACCATCCGCCATATTCGCCAAATGTGGCCCCGTGCGAATTTTGGCTATTTCCAAAAAAAAAAACTGAAGACCGCTTTTGAAGGGTCACGGATTTTCAGACATTGCCGACATTCAGAGACGACCATATTGAAGAGCATTCCAAAATTGTTCCAGATATGTTTTAAACACTGACTCACTAAGGGTCAGCGCACACGTAAGACTTAACCATCGACTGACTGTTCTGTCGTTGTCGGCTGAAGCATACGACCCATAAACGACACGACAGTTCAGTCCACGAGCATGCGCACACGTACGTCTAAACAGTCGTTCTCTTGTTCTCTTTTGTTCCACGTTCTTCGCTCTATGCTCGCCGAGTACAGAAGTCAGGAATGTTGCAAGAAGAGAATATCGAACAATTAATTGAAAAAAAATGAAAAGATTATGCAAACATCAATGTTAAAAGAGTACTTTGGCAAGAGATTTGTTCAGTTGTGCCAGTCTTTCTTTAGGTGAAATAGCGAGACGCATATCCGTATCTTGATAGGTTATACTCGGTCTCAGCAATAATAGAAATTCATCAAAACTTTGTGTACTCATGCGAAAATATGAAAAGAATTTTGCATGATAATTCCGTAATGTTTCATACATAGTATGGAATTTTCCTTTGAACAGTCTCTCACTGTATAATGGATGCACCCAGTAATTCCTTTTCCTCCTTTTATTGAGGCGCATCACAAGTGCACATACTATAGCAGTTTCAACAAAATCCATGTTTGACAATCGTCTACTGTCTGCAAATGCTCTTACGAAATGAAAGGCAGAACAACTGAAAGATCGTTCGTCTGCGCGCTTTCATATAATTCGAAGGGCCAACGACAGTTGGTAGACAGAAGAGTCCGGGGTTGTAGGTAGAGGTAACCGACTGCCAGTCGTGTCGCTGTCGTGTCGTAACAGTGTGCGCATCTCCATATGTTATTAAGGGCTTTGTGTCGTCTGACTGTTTGTCTTACGTGTGCGGTAGCCCTAAAGTGTACTGGTATGCAAGGAGACTACTTCGAAGGTAACAGGAACCATTTGTGTTTAGGTAATTAAACGCAACCTTTACAAGGCATTCCAGTTACTTAACTTTACACCTCATACTCGCACACACTAACACACATACACACAGAGACGGTAACACATGTCTGTACTCACCAACTCCCGCTTCTTTCCTGCATGAAGAACTTTACAAGCCAACAGGACCCATTCTGTTCTCCTTGTATCAGAACAACACAGAACGTCACACACAAACACTGCATTATCAGGAAGTGAACGAATCGAGCTACATTAACTGACTGCAGATATAACGCGTTTGTATGTGTTATGAAACATGACTGTGCTGTTAGTAATACAAAACAAATACCATAGATTATTTGCTCACTACACGGGACACTAAAACACTGTAAAACTAGCTTCATGTTACTTTAAAACTTCTTAAGCAAACAACTCCAAACAAACATTCCGTTGTGTCGTAGCGCCATTATTCTAGCAGCGCACAGATTCACCGACAGTCTTTTGTTTTGAAAGCTCTCATGTTGCTTGTCTAGGTGGCAGTGCTGAACACCTGCGAAACTCAAGGACACAGACAATTTTAATTTTGTTTCTCTTGCGTATTGTAAGAGAGAAAACTGTCATGCAGGACTATGAAGAAGTGAAATAATCAGATTGAAAGAATAATATTTTTGTACATCCTGCAAATAAATGCCTAGACATTCATAAATTTTCAATGTAATTTACAGAAGCGCCTCTGGTTGTGAGAACCTGAAAGAGACTAAAGATAAGAAGCTGGATGGAAAGTTTACTTCCGTGAAGTGTAACACAGGCCCGTAAGTACATTATTGACTTCCGTAGTCATTAACAAAATTCATAACTGCGTCCATAAATGAAATACATGGAAAGGACAAGGTATTAAAGGTACAAAGTCAAAGAACGCATGAATTGGAATCTAGTTTCTGCTCACAATCTTGCAGCGTGCTTAAGATTTACTCCAACCTCAGTTCCGCGTTTAACTAGAACTCGACGAGATTCTATTTGCTGTCGCATATTACCTAGGAATTAGGCAAGCGGGGTTATTTCCGAAACACATTGTTACAACAACGGAAACCAAGGTCATTATTAAAACATATTGCTGGAACAGTGGAAACATAATTCGTTGTCAGAACGTGTTGCAACAATGGATACCAAGTTTATTATAGGTTCACAACAATGACCTTAATAATTTTTAGGCGTTAGCCTGGAGTGACTGAAGAAATCTGCGAAATACCTCAGTGTAAATCAGGAACTTACGAAATACAAAGCAGGTTTGTTAACGAGCCTCGAAGTTCGATCTAAAATCACAGTACCTGTTAAGTGTTTCAACGAAATTTTGTCAAGTTTCTGCTAGTGATCTGTCACCTAGATGTCTCCTCTATTTATAACACATTGCATTACTCAGACTGCATACATACGTTATGCTTAAATGAAATAGACCTTTTAAATTCGCATTTTTCCGTTCTTTTATAAAAAAGGTATTTTTATCTTTTTTCAAATCGTGTTTCTTCTTATTTGATATTTAAAATATCGTTTGCACCTCTGTTGTAACATAATTAACTGAATACCTTTTATCACGCCAAATAATTTCTAAAATATCTAGCGTCCAGGGACACATGCCCTGGTAAAGCGAACAAAAGTGTACTCAACACGCAAACACGTTCTTTTTAAATAAATTTATAAAATTCAATACAAAATTGCAGGCTTAAGTTTACTGGTATCCGTTCACTACGGTTTAAAAGTTATTTAGTTCTTTTGCAGGACTTGAAACTACAATGAATTAATGAAAAGAACTGAGGCTACTGTGAGAATGTGCTTATGTGTCAAAGTACCACCATTTCACTCTGGGATTCATAGCCATCAACGTCTCTCAGACTTCTCGCAGTTCTACCATGCAAGGAGATGACACTGTCTATGAACAAGGCGTCATTGACGGGCGTTTCCGCGTCATCACGCACTTGATGACTGTAGGCGCTACGCCCATATTCCCAGACAGGACGTCACTCGCGTACAGAGCGTACCAAATGATCATCGTAGTGAGTGCGTATCTCACCTTCATAACGGCCGTTATCGGCATCCTGAAGAATTTTCACGACGAGGGTTTCGTCATGGAAGCTGCAAGAACTACCTTTACCATGATCAACGTTCTCTGGACCCACTTCTTCACCAGGTACTCCCAGTGTGGAAATGCAACATCTGATTGCGACCCACTTCTTCACCAGGTACTCCCAGCGTGGAAATGTAACATCTGATTGAATTACTCCGAGTTTAATAACAAGTGGATTTTCTGTTGTATGTCACTTTCAAGAAACGGACACAAATTTGAAGTTACATTTGCCAGTCTTTTACATGTTTCGTCTCCAAAATACAGAAACTGATTTGGAAGAAATTTGGTATATGAAATGCAAAATATATACAGAAATTAATTTCGGTTTATTCTGTATTGAATCAAACTTTGTTTACGAAGAAAAAACGAAGCGATTACTTAGAAGACATAATAGAAGATGGAGTGTACGAAAAATTTGTAGGATAATATTAAAATGTACCTAAATAATAAAATATGAGGGCGTGGACTGGATTAATCTGATTCAGGGTAGAGATCTGTGACGGGTTTTCTGAATTTAAAAAAAATTTTAGACGTGTTTCTTTTAAAACACAACCCTGACGTATCCTCTTACGTAAAAAATGATAGAAACGATTGTGATACTGAATTCTTACATCTGCGTAATATTGCAGCTGATACATGCTTTGAAATTGTTAGGTCATTATTTGAGAAATGTTGTTGATTAATGAGCAGTTGTGACACACAAACACTTTCTATGTCCCGAAATTCTGACACCAGCCGGTGTAATGCTGTCTTTTTCAGGTCATTTCTTGTCAGGATACGCTAAACGCTTCGCAAACATAAGAAGACTATTTGATTGCGAAGTTAACTGGAGTGAGTAGCGGCCTAGCAACGAGGATGTCCTCGACTTATAAATGTCTCAGGGGAGGTGATGAGGGTCTATTACCCTGGGGGGGACATGCTTCTGGTTTAATTCCGGCGGGGCCCGAATTTTTAACTTGTGTTGGGCAAGGCCGTGGCCTAGGCAACACGGAGTTTTCCTCATTGGCATCCCAACAATTACTCCATTCACACACAGAAGAAGGCAATGGCAAACCACTTCTGGATCATCTGCCAAGAACGTATATGAACAGGTCCCAGTCCGAGAAGAGAAAAGGATGGAAGGATCCTGTTCATATGGACCTGTCGTCAGACAGAACACTAAATAAATAAATAATAATAGTAATAATAATATGTAATTGTTACTGAATTGCTTTCAAGTGTTATATTCCCGAAGATGAATGGAGAGTCTGAAAAAAATTAAGATAAATCTTAGTTAATCGGTTTTAAATTAAATCGTTTTAAAACATGATGCAGGAGTGTTAAGAATTTTTCATGATGCTTGGTGATTGTATCAAATTCTAATTTTTTGCAGTAGGAATATGCAAGGTGTTCGCAACTTGGTCAGGATGGCAAGGGAATGGTCGGAGTTGGCTGGTCGAGTTGCTGACAAGAAGAAGGACGCATGGATTTCTCGTATCCAAATAGTGGCTTGGCGAGGAAGTGGCTTTTTCTACTGCATCCACATAATTTATTTGGTTTTACGCATCGTAAGCCAGAGTAATAATATTCTCTTTTACAACTCCTGGATCCCATTTGAGACGGAAACCAATTTTGGATATTACTTCATATTAGTTGTTCAGGTAGGCTGAATTAAGTTATTCAATTTGTTTTATTTATAAACCTGTTCCTGGAGCTATTAAATTAATTTAGTAAGATATAAGATTTTCACGGCGAGTAATATGAAGATGGCTGTCTTATGAAATGTTGAACCAAGTAGTCTGGTAGATATTTAACGACGTTTCAGAGATGCTTACTGCTTGGTGATAAACTAAACGCATCTGAAACGTTATTCAATATCTAACAGTCTATACCGCGCAACGTCCCAAAATACAGCCAACTTTAAATTAATTAATTTGTGTTTTTTGCATTATAAATGCTGGTATTTTTTAAGTCCAATTAAATATATTTTCTTAATTAAGAACAGCTTGTTCAATCACGAACATCCAATAGTAATTACTTTTCATATGAGCGTTCCGTTGTATGTTTTACACGATAAATATTTACGATAATCCGTCCACATAAATTTTTAATAACAAATTAACTTTATTCAGGTAACACGTTTCGGTGTTATTACAATTATCTTCAGGATTTATTAAGATTCTGTCAGATGCAATGTTTACAATTTCTAGACGAACGAAAAACTTTGTGTCAAATTTTACTCCGTTGGAATTAAATAAAAATATTTTTTGGACACTGCCATTTGTCTGTGGTGTACTTCATACACACGACATTTCCAATGTCTGGTGACTGATTATCATAAAACTTACGTCTTACATTATTTTTAATTTTGATATTAATAGCAGCTTTTATTATATAATCCGAGATTTTTTAATACCAGGTTAGTAAGCTAAGCAATGAAAATCTTTCACAATGATAACCAACCAGCCAACTAAAGACAGTAGTAGAACCAGTTTCCGAAACGTCGTGTATATCATATATACCTGAAATAATACGCAGTAACACAGAATTTATATAATAAATCAAATATTGACACACACTTCTAGAAATTAATTATAAAACCCTTTCTTGAAATTATTGTTATCTGTTCAAATGTTTATTCTGACGTGTTAATGAATTAACATTAATAAGAATATGGCCGTCTTCTGGTTTGTAGTGTCGTGTAGTGTGGTAGAAATTTACCAACGTTTCAGATGTGCCTGTTGTCTCCATCATGAGGGCGTAAGCTACCATCAAGTAGCACAACCCTTAACTTTAAGAACGAATAATTTTTAATTAAAATTTAAGGTACAAATTCCAATTGTATTAGGCCCTCGGCAGCATCCTGTATGCTTGCTTGGTGTTCGCGATAATGACTCTGTTTGCGTCGCTGCTACTTGTGGTCTGCTCCGAACTGGAAATGTTACAAGGAATTCTGATGGAAATGAAGCAGAATGAGGGTGAACCACAGTCAGCGGTAAAGGAGAGTTTGGCTCAGTGGGTGAAACATCATCAGCAGATACTGAGGTCAGTGCTGGCGACAGCAAATGGATTAAAAAAATGAATTCGGGGGTGTAATCCGAACAGTTGCACCCCAATTTTAGGGGCGAAGGAAGATAAATCGGACGTTTTATAAAACTTTTGTTGGAGAAGGAAATGGAGGGCAAGAAAAACAAATAAAAATGTGGGAGAGCTTGAGATATCGCCCGGGTTTAACATTCATAGGGATGCATTATCTGTTGGGCATCGTAATATAGGAGTCAAAAGTACAGAAGATATGTTTACGTAAGAAAATGTTTCTGAAGTCATCAGCATTAATGGTGGAGTCTGTGAGCCACAGGGATCGAATCCAGGACTGTAGTTTTCTAAGAACTTTTGTATGTCAGGGATAATTTTGTTAAATAATCTGAAAATAAAATATTCCTCGATAGCCTCTCATTTCACTAGGTTCTACTTTTACTTATAATTTTTTTTTTTACTAACTGTTAAGAAATATACGAATTTTGTAACGAATTCCATTATACAGAATATTCTTTGAAATCTCGAGAGTTATCCAGACAGGTAGAGTCACTTTTGAGGAGAAAATTAATGGTCATTCAGATCGTAAATAAATTCCTCTCCTTTTGTGCAACCTGAATTGTCATATGTGTATTGTTCATTCAATTCTATTAAGGTACCTCAAGGAACTGGAGGACACTTTCAATGTGGTTTTGTTGGGGCCACTGCTGTCTGTTGCTGTGATTCTGTGTCTGACTGCGTATACTGCTGTCACGGTATGCATCTCAGCTATACGTACGTCATTGCAGAGATAGCCTCAGATCTGGTCCATAAATCAGTTTCCGAAACGTTGGAGTTCTATAATTTTGTAATTCAGACGATGGGAAAGTCGAAATTTATTATTATTATTATTTAAGGGTAAAATAAATTGCAATTCCACCATGGACACTGTTGGTATTCGTGTGCCGTCAAGGCAAATAAGAGAATTTTCTACGTTTAGTGTGAGCATTGCGCTAAGACATAGTCCTTCAGCGAGGTGCGTCATCACTGCAAATGACGTATGTAAATTTTTGGACGTATTTGGCATAAACATTGTTTCTTTTGAGGGCACTTTCTCAATAAGAGATATTATCTAGATAGTGGTCTAGATTGGATCTAGCTAGATTATTTGTTTTAATTTTATTATTTATTTTATTTTGTTTCCTTGTATTATAATACTATTTTTTAGTGTTTTACATTTATATTAGTGTTCACATTGGTATTTAATTTGTATTTTTTGTTGTATTTTTGTATTAGTGTTTGCCTGTCATAGGCTCTTTGCTGTTGGCAAAAACTCTAACAAAGGAATTGAATTGAATTATTCCGTCACTGTGTTGTAGAGTATCTGCTCATAACCCAGGATCAAATATTTTCTCTGGACTCATGACACATTAGCTTCTAGAAAACAAATTTAAAGTTACTGAAATGTCAAGTTAGTATGTTCTTCAAGACGTGCGCTATCCCCAGAAAGTCCGTCATTTGTAGCTCGACCAGAGATGCCACATAAATAAATGATCGAATATGCTTCAATTTGCACTAATAATTATTGATATGACGTTCGTTTTTACAAACCGCGTAGGCTATGTTTAACCATTACATCTTGGATGTGTAATAATTGTTCTGTTTTTGTCAGTTACTATAGAAACGTCAATTGTTAAAAGTGTTCTTTCATATCCATTTGTTATTAATTTTTTTTTTTTCAGATTTCGGGAAATTTTGTCGAGATTATACAAATCTGTCTTATCACATCGGCCATGCTGAGTCAGTTACAAATATTTTGTTATTTCGGAAATGAACTCACGATTCAGGTATGCGCCTACATAAATTACTTACTGATTTCAACATGCTTATCCCGTAATTTAGTTAAATCATGTATTTATCTCATATAATTGATTAAGATTCATACTTGTAAAGGCTAAAACACTAATAATATCTGCAAACTTTGTGCAGTTATTTGCATTGACGAGGTATCTGAGACGGGTAGGCATGTAGCAGGCATGGGCCAGATTAGAAATTTATATAGAATATTAGGAGACATACGAAGATCAGAAGATATTATTGAAACGGATATTAAAACAGTAATCTCTGAAGACGTGGACTCAATTCTTTTTCCTGAGGATAGGATTAAGTGGCGGGCTTTTGCGGGTGTCATAATTAACCCTTTGAAGCCGAAGATCGTCTGAATATTATTTATGAATTCAGTCCGTACCGCGAAGAAAACACTACACCTCACCATTACGAAAATCAGCTGGTTAACCCTTTGAAGTCGAAGCTCGTCTTCATAATATTTACGAATCCAGACCGTACCGCGAAGAAAACACTTCACTTAACCATTAGAAGTCGAATCAGGCGGTACCACATAAGATTTAACAAAAGAACATCCCGGTCGAAGCCTTAATCTTCGGTTTACGTAAAAGGTGGGCAATTTAAATTTTGCATAATCTTAAATTAAGATTATAATCTTCGTCTCTCAACCTGAGAAAGGGCGCTGAGGGGAATATTTTGATCTAAGAAAGGGGGAGTACTAGGAGAATATAAAAAAATTCATTATGAGAAACTTCATAATATGTACTCTTCAACAATTATTAGGATTTTAAAAGGACAGGGTACGTACGTGAGCAATAAGAAATGCATACAGAAATTTAATCGAAATACCTGAAGGTAAGAGACCACTCGGGAAACCTAGGTGTAGATGGAAGGATAATATTAAAATGTATCTTACGTTAAACAAACAGAACGCGGAGATGTGGACTGGTGTTACCTGGATGAGGATAGTTTTTCAGTGGCGAGTTTTTGCAAACACGGTAATAAACCTTCGGATTTCTTAAATAGCGGTAAATTTGTTGAATAGCTGCTGTACTGCCAACTTTTCAAGAAAATCTCTGCTCTATGGAGTTAGTTACTTGACAATAATTTATTTTTTTCAAGTTTATCGCTATATTTAAAGCAAGAACGCCTAGAAAATTACAAAGTAGAATGGAAATGAAACTTCTAGAGCTACAGGCATTTCTAGAGCTTTAATTTGCATAGAAGTTATGATATATCTTTGCAATGAAGTTTAAAGGTAATTAAGTATTTTGTATTTCATTACGTAAAAGCCTGTTTTTTAAGTGATATTCTAGTGTCTTTGTATTTAGCTTGTAGTGCGTAATGTACGTGAGTTGAGTGCATTATCCCACTTACTTATAGTGTTAGTCATTAGTGGCATAGTCATTTCTAAGCGGGGATTTTAGAGTAAAGTTTATAGAGTGTCAATGTATTTTAGTCCGGAAGAATAAGGGATGCTGCATGGGGAAGCAACTGGGTGGGTATGCCATGGGAAAGATCATTCCCATTAGTCGCCGAACTTTTCTGTTGGTACGTAGACCAAGGTACCGATCCCACATTGCGTCAACTGTACTAAATAGTATCTGCGTTATCAAGGACATGAAGATGTTGACTAAGGCCTGCGTTATCAAGGACATGAAGATGTTGGCTATGGACTTGCGTATTGTGACACTGTGCGGTCTTGTGTATGTTCAGCGACGTTCCGGAAGAATGTGTGGCTTTCACGTTCAGCGCTGATAAAAGGCAAAGGGGCGGTTAATTTGGAATGAAAATTAACGTTTACAAAGAGGCCATTAAAAGGTTAATTTCCTAGTAAAACCCTATAATCTACATATTTCATGAAGCCTATTTACAGGGACCACGGGAAGAATATTCGAGTAGATGCTTAGTAATAATATGTTCAAGCTTTGATCCTGATAAAAAATGTTATAAAACATGTCAGCGTAATGAAAGTGACCTGAAGATGGAAGAAGAACTAACTCCCGAAACGTCATGTTTATCAAATACAACTGAAAAATGGACAATTTCCTATTTAATATTACAAAAAAAAATCAACCAGTCACATAGACAAATGTTGGATAAAATTATCGCATTTAGAAATTTGTATTTTGTTGAAATGTTTATATTATTTATATTTAGAGCATTTAATTACGTTTGTTGCAGGTTCTGAACGAGACGTACACCTATTTCATGTTTCTGTTGAATTTTAGTAACAATTCTTCGGAACACAAGTAGACAGAGTAGCAAAGTACGTAATAGACGAAGCTAGGTAAGTAGGGAATGACTAAGAAATTAGCAAAACATCGTAGGGCTTAAGAATTTCACTGCATATTGAGTTTAGATTCTGGGCTTCTGGTTGCATTTCAACCCCTTGAAGAAATACGCTGATACAATTTTTATGGTTCATCCACGAAAAGTTGGTATACATCAAGACTGCGTGGACCAGAAACCCTTAAGACTAGATATTGAAAATAAAATATTTATTTCACAAGTAAAAGAAATGCTAATCAATCATAATGATAACTTATTGTTAATTGATTATAGTACATCTTTTACTAGTTACATCACACTGTGTTTGGCTTTAAAATACAGTTACACTCTTTTACAACTTAGTTAAACATAAATGTTTATTCAAATGTTTTATTAATTTGTAATTGTTAAGTATATAGTAATCAGTTAATACATTTATTTATTCCTATATATAAATGCAATTATAAAACGAGTTTTAATTACGGATATGAGATACTTTTCGAAAATGATGAATGGACAAACGTTTAATTAGTGAAATATTATAATAATGAGGACAAATCATGAATAACGTAAGCATAAAAAAATACTAGAACAACTATAATAGAAAATTAATTATATTATATACATTTTAATTAAATATTTTCACGGCTTGTTAAGTCATACTAATATATAAATTATTAGAATTCTTAAATTTTGAAGGCACTTAGGAACTGATAATTGTTTCCGTCAATTGAATGAAAATCACTCTTACGTTTAATGCTAACGTGTTTTATTTGGTCCGTCGTTGTCACAGCTAATTATGAAAACTCTTTTATATATCTCAACAAATTCAGACACGTGTATTCAGAAAGCATTATTCGAAAATAAACACCTTCACATTTCAACACCTATTTATCTTATTACGTATGTTTGCTTTTTTTTTTATAATACTTTTGTGTCAGTGTGTATTCGGCAGAGTGGTGTTGGATGGTTAATTAAAGCTTTCTTTCGTTTCATCTTGTGATACACAGTTTGACAGCGTAAGGACATAATATCATGTCGTAATCTGTCCTTCAGTTTACTTCAGCTACACTGATTTGCGTATTTGGTTGCTTATTCTATCCTTGTCATTTCATATGACATGGCTTTATTTAAACAGGGCTGTCCATATGCGAGTCCCTATCTTACACGAGACTTTTCGTGGGCCTTACCGGGCGAATATCCTGAGCATTTACAAGTTTATTAACCCCTTTAAAATAAAATTAATCTAAATTCCATTTAAAAACATAGTTCTTGTCTCAAATAAAACACATCACATCACATTTTCAAATGCGTTTTAATTATTTTTATGAACATTTTTAGTCTTTAAAAAGGATTCTGTAAGAGACAAGCAGAGATACGAATGTTATATATATTTACTGCTAGAAACGAATAATCCAGGTATTAATTGGTATAATTGGTAATGCAGACATTCCATTTAACTGAGACGCTGCTGATTCGCACAATTTAATAATGATAATAATAATAATTTAAAAACGCATATATAAAAGTTGACTTTTACCTGCATAGACCACGTCTTGCACGGTGATTGCTAAAACTTGAAAATCTTGCTAGATAGATTTCCACTGGAGCTTATGCTTCATATTTCCACGCACGTAAAATATGGCATTATTCCAGCTCGTGTTCTGCCAACTACGAAAATTTTAAATCCTGTTAAAAGTCTTATGTAAACGCAGACTGATAGGAAGATGGCTGTCTTCTGAAATGTTGCGCCGTGTAGTCTGATAGAAACTGACCGACGTTTTAGTGGTGCTTACTGTCTCTATTAAGAGGGCCTCTGAAATGTCGGTCAATTTTTTATAAGATTTACCGGCGCAACATCCCAGAAGATTTGCCATCTTCAAACTCGTCGTCGGAACGTGAAATCTCACGGAGCGAGGCGAAACCTCAGCTGCTCATGAATAGAACGTAAGGACTGATGTGTGATTTCCTCGGACCAGCAGTGAGGGAGGCATGTCCTTAGTTAATACTTCTAGCCAAGCCATGTACAGGGGTGCTGAAACGGTGCCCTTACGTGGCATTGGAAGAGACCTATTGTGGGGAAAGAGAACAGAATTAGATATTTTCGTCTGACTACAGCATTAAAAAAAAAAACTTTGCCTCTTGAAAATGTTAACATGTTCATAACTTACATAACAATAAGTCTGGCATCGTGAGAATTCTCCAAAAGCAACTCCCTCAATCTAAGTTGCCTGTCAGTTTTTTGCTGCAAAGCTGCTAACTCCACTTTGCTAACACACACCTCTGAGGAAAATAGAACATTTGTACATCAATTCATTTCGACATGACTATGGATGCCTTCTGAATATTTTCTCCATAACATGTGAAAGAAATTTAGCGATATTTTAAATGTGCTTGCTGCTTCCATCGTCAGGACGATAAAGAGTCATTGCCCTGATGATGGCAGTAGGTATCTTACCGCCAACATCGACGAAATATAGAACATTTCGACACACAGAGATTTACTGATGAGAGTGACAATGAATCAGTCATGCTACATGCTAATTTCTGAAGTGTTACGTAATGTCATTTTGTCACATGATATTTGTCTTACCTGGGTCGGCCCCATCTTCTTCACAGAAACCCTCCAATAAGCTATTGAAGAAGGTGACAGTTTGATCCTGTGGTTTTTCCGTGATACCAGCCACCATCTTCAGGCTATGATAATGGATGCGAAACTTTGACAGCAGGCTTGCCATACTGTTAACAAATAAATATATTTTTTGCCATTAATTTGTTTCTTAATTATATATATATAATATATATTTATTCTGCTTCGATCCTCAGTTTATCCGTAGACATATAAATCTAAAATCCGCTTTCAATACACTAAGCTTAAAGTACAAACATGTTATGATTAATCCCACGTTTAAGACGTTTCCAAGACCATTCGCGTTATATAGTCCACAAATTATATAATTCTGCATTATCCTTACGTAAAATAAAAGGACACTCATTGCTCACTTTCGCGGTAGCAAAAGACGTCAGTCAACCATAATGAGTAGTAACTTTTGTCTGGGACGGTACGCACGCTTAATCGCCTCCCCCCCCCGCATTCAAAACATGTACGAATGGCTGTAAAACATTTTAATTAGCATCAGTTATGCTAGAAGCTCAAATGAATTATCTTAAAACCTTTCGTGACGTGTAATGTATTGGAATATAAAAACATGCATAGAAAGAGCAGTTTCATTCAAAGTGTAAACAGTTTTGTTTGTGTGCATGTTTTTGTTTAGTTCTCACGTAACAACAGACCATTTCTTCTTCGGGTTTAAGAATGTACTTCTATATATATATATGTATATATATATGTATATGTAACATATAATGAGATGATAAAGTTGCGTCATATTGTGATAAATATATATTTGTTTAAATCTTGTCAGTCTAATAACAATAAAATTCCTATTAAATATTAAAGTATTACCATAATTAACATTTAATTATTTAAAATATATCAAATGATATTCTCTATCGAAATGTTCGATTTACATTAGAACATCACTTTTTTACACGACATGTTTCAGTTCTAAAAGAACCATCGTCAGGTGAATATGGTAATATTTTAATATTTAATAGGAATTTTATTGTGATTAGACTGACAAGATTTAAACAAGTAACATATAATGTTTGTGGGACATTCTGTTTTTGTAAAGATACAATGCTCACTTCCGTTCCTCTAATTCTGCTTCTTGTTGGCGGCTTAGCAAAGCGAAGACACGTAGTTTACAGTTGGACCAGTCACTGCGTGTGCTGATAATATATGGCAGCAACATAGTTAGACCTGTTGCAATAAAAAACGCCAATGACCAAGCATGTATGGAAGGACGAAAGTTAAAAATAACGCGTCTACGATCTTGATTAGTCGTTAATTGAAAAATAGTTAACCATGACAGTAAAGCTTTCGGAGGAACATACGTCCTCCATCGTCAGGGCAGGAGACAACAAGATTCTACGATTCGATCGTATCAACGTATAAATCCACTCAAAACTACAATATTTGAATACCATCGACATCTTCATCACCGTGAGAAATTCGATCTTTACATGACCTTGAATTTCTAGTTTAAACGAGACTATTTTTTGTATTTATAATCAGTAGAAATTGATGAAAGCAAGCAACAGAAGGATGTCTTCGGGATAGGATGCACGTAACAACCACACGAAAAACGAGATTCATTTAAACGCAGTAAAGACAATGGACCATTGCTTTAAGTAATTCCATGATTTTATACATGAGAGCAAGGCTATAATAAAACAACTTTCTGAACCATTTTCTTTGACAGGAAACGGGAGAAAACCGCACAGCGAAGAGCTTCATAATTTGTACCCTTAACAAATATTATTAAAATAATCAAATGGAACGTAAATAAATGTGCAGTGCATGAAGAACGCATGGAAGAGATTTGAGACGCGTATACATTTTCGGTAGACTACCACGGTGATCTAGCGGTTAGAACGCTGGCCTTGTAATCCTGAGGGGTCTCGGGTTCGATTCCCGGCGGTGCCCGAATTTATAACTTGTGTTGGGCAAGGCCGTGGTCTAGGCAACACGGAGTTTTCCTCCGCGGCATCCCAACAATTACTCCATTCACACACAGAAGAAGGCAATGGCAAACCACTTCTGGATCATCTGCCAAGAACGTATATGAACAGGTCCCAGTCCGAGAAAAGGATGGAAGGATCCTGTTCATATGGACCTTTCGTCAGACAGAACACTAAATAAATAAATAAACCCGAAAGGAAGGGACTACTCGCAAAACATACGCGTAAATTGGAAGATAATATTAAAAAAAAAATGGGATAAATGGGAGTGTATTGGGTCTATTGCAGGGACTTGCGAGTACGGAAACGAACCTTGTGTTTGAAACAGAGACGGGGGGGATTTCTTGCTTATCTGGGCTTACTACTAGCTTTGAAACGAGGACCATAGCAGCTCCTGGTACCGTAAATAAAATAAGGTGAACGTACCTCCGTCATCATAGAGCCACCAGACGTCAATGTTGCCTTCTGCTTGTTTTTGTCGGAAAATCGTCATGTTCGATAGCTGGCTGCCAATGGGAATCCTGCGGGTACAAACAACAGCGAGGCAAATAAACAATTAAAACACATTTCCTGTCCATAATTCAGTATCGCCGCAGGATATAATTCTAGACCTCATTATGCACTTCACATCCTCTCTGTCACAATATCCACAAGGTCCAGTTTAATATTATCTTTCCATCTTTTCCTATATTTTCCTTATCAAACTGTTAATCGACCGTATAACTGCTTAATTTTGTCTAATTACTTATATTTACAAAATTACGTTAGGCGTAACTAATATTTCCGATAACAAACACGATCGAGTGATTAGCATTTCTGCTATGTATTCGGGAGGTTTCGAGTTCATACCTCTGTCCGATTACATAATAGCCTGATATCCGAGGAAATACTGGGATAGTATGTTAAATTTAGTCACTGCTGATTCCTCCCAGATCCCTTCCAATTTGTTATTTAGTTGTTAGTCTGTCGTTTAACACATCCTAAATTAGACCGTGACCAATAAAATAAATCAACTTTACGTAGAAGAGGTCGCCACAAACTTAACATACAATATTGACGAAGATAATATTTGGTTAGAATATTTGTTGTCTACTTACTTGTTTAACATGTACTTCTTCTTGCTTTTCAGGATACTTAATGGCATCAGGGTATCTGACTTCTCTGTGTTTACATACCGCCGCAAAGCCTTGGCACTGTCAATCAGAGAATTGTCTGAGGACCCTGTATAATTTAGAGACAACTGCTTAGTACGTTCAATAATAGCAATGACGTCAACATTTTAACCCGACACGCTTAAAATTTTGTGGTAACCTGTTTCAAACCTGGCATAAAAATTAATATCTTCGTTACCAATAAATTATCATTTCTATCCTACACACACGTATGAGTTCAGAGAATGTACAGTCTAAGTGCAGTTTCTGAATAACAGAACCTGTTACATTTACAAAACAGAAAATTCACGAACAGGGTGCCTTCGTGTAGCTGAACAATATCTTGTCGTTATGAAACCAAGCGTTTTACCATCGTATCCACTTTAATATTACCCTCTGACTTCCACCTATTCTCCAAGCGGTCTCTGTTTATATTTCCGTATAATTTGTTGTATGACAGTAGGGACGAATCTGTGCGTTCTATGCCCTTTAAAAGCATGAGACAAGGGGATCAGATGGGTGGCAGGGGTAACAGATAATGACGCAAAGAATCCCAGATTATAAACATTATTTTCCAGCGGCAGTTCTTTGTCAGATCCTGTGTCGATAATGTATTTGGTATTCGTATTTTTTTTCGTGTTTTCATTTTACCCGCAAGATAGTGATGTAGGACAAACTCACAGTTTCGTTCCGGGTACTATGTACACGCTCGTATGTGTATGTTGTATGTATATATGTAATGAAAGTCTAAATGTGTGTGTGTACATCTGTCATTCAACTCATGTATTCCACCCATGATTTCCTCATGAATCTCATCACATTATCAGCCCTAGACTTGGAGCGAAGGTTTAGGGCTCCTTATTGCGTGATTTTTTTCGTATCTCGTATTTCTATCCACCGAAATAAAACTGTGACAATGAAATTACTACTTACCAATTGCAGATAGCGAGATGTTTGAAGGATGTTGCTCCATTTGATTGAGGCTGACAAAAGAGTCGATGCGTAGGAAGCCTGTTTGACCATGGTTCGTGAGGTCCTGGCTGGAATTAGCCACACTGAATGCCCCGTTGTCATAACAGTGAGAATCTGTCTCCTCCGTGAACTTGGAATAATCCTCTCCATAGGGAAGACGCAATATTGCTACCGATATTCGATTATCGAAAGCATCGCTGAAACGTAACACACATCAAAAAATGAGATTTCATGTTCTCACGTCGAACAAAATATTGATGTTCGTCTTTTGGGTTACAACTTCTTGCGGACTTGTAGATATATATCAACGTTTCGGAGGAACATACTTCCTCCATCTTCAGGGCTAACTTCAGCCGTGAATAATTTGTGTTCCTCTGAAACGTTGGTATCACCCACAAACCCACGTGACGTTACAACCCGGAAGACCAACATCGACACCGCAACAAATCTAGACATGAAAACGTTGAAAAGAATCGTGAAAATATATAGTATACTTACTGTAGAACATTGAAGTACGCTGCTAAGTCTCCAGTATCGCAGTTTCTCCATGTACTTTTGTATCCCAACACCAAGATGTTCGGCTTCAGCTTTCCAAGCCCTGAAGCCTGAAGCAGAGACCTGGCAGCCATTTCGAACTCAATTCCATCCACCAGAGTGTAAAACGCCTTGATTTTATTGGCATGCAACCAGGCATAGCTCTTTCGGGCAAGGTTCAACCGAGCCCGATGGGAGAGTCGCTCCTACAACACAATTTCATTTAAACCAGTCTTCAATTATCCATGTATTTTTAAGCCAAAATGCCTAGATTAACATTAAGGAATTACAGATACTTCGTTCATAGCCTGGGAAATGTTAAAATTAATGTATTCAACGTACTGCCTTACAGATTAATTTCATTTTTATTTATTTACTTTTTATATATTTCAAATCCCAAGTGTACCTGCTTATTTTCACAGAATTATTGATTATTAATTATTAATTTTAGACATTATTTCAGGTTAGCGATTGTGGAGTCCATTGAAATCCCTCCTTGAAGAGGTCAATTTGACAGAAAAACTCTGTACGTCTGTACTCACTTCCGACAAATGTCCGCACAACATCAACGCGTTGTTTTTCGTGATAAGGTTGACGAGATCCACGAGCGGTGGTCTGTCCTGAGGCTTGCCCGTCAGAACGAGGATTTGAGGTCGGTAATTCTTCACGTGTTCGTCCACGTTAATCAACTTGTGGACCGATGTTAAGGCCGTCTTGTATGTCTGAGCTTGAGTGGAAGAACCCCAGTTGACGTCTGGAAACATCCGCATAATAAAGATTATGTGCCAAAATATGTCTTTCTTTTGATGTTAACCTTACTTCTAAAAATTAAAGGTGTATAAATATCCAGGTATTAATAAAATTCCGACAGAAATGGTCCAGGCTGAAGGTAATGTGGTAGGTTATAAAATTAAAATTTATTAATTCTGTTTGTAATAAGGAAAGATTTCCAGAGCAGTGAAAGAAATGTATTATTGTACCTATTTATAAGACGGGTAATAAAATTAATTGTAATAATTATCGAGAAATGTCACTCTATCAACTGTATACTAATTTTTTGAATATTATTCTCCAAATGTTAACTTCATATTATAGAAAATTAGTGTGAATATTCATGTAATCGATTAACTACTGATGAGATATTTATTCAAATTCTGAAGAAAAATATGAGTATAATATGGTAGCACGTGAAAAAGTATATATAAATTAAAACTATTAAAGTCCGTATAGATAACAAGACTGATTTTTTTCATATTCAGAATGGTCTGAAACAAAGAGAAGTAACATCAACATTGCTTATAAAGTTTGCTTCATAATATCTGCTAGAGAATTTTCAGCCCTTCAAGCCCTGTGTTGGACACTTGGCAGGACTCCTTTGACGAAGGATCATCCCTTCACAAGGTTTAGCTACATATGAAGGACGCACAAAACAGAAAGATACGGACACAAATCCATGATTCCAGTTTTCGAGCAATAATCATATGCGTGTGTTACGAAGCAAAAATTTCCATTCCGAAAAAAAAATAATTTCGAAACTCGTAGACAATATAACCTAATAATCTAGAATTTAATTGAATATTACGCTTTGTCCATATTTGTTTTTATTCTCATCTTCCTGCTCGTGCCTAAAAAACTTTCCATGTTTCTTAAGAGATAACCCAATTATTTGTGCTTCTATTTTATCAGGAAAAGCCTTCAGTTATTAATAGCTTCAAAGTAAATTAGATCAACTTTACCTGGTTTCCGGTAGACGACAAGAAGGTAGAGTGCTAGAACAACGATAAAGGTAATAAGTGACGTGACCCACGAAATGAGAAACATGATGGCAACGCAGATTATAAAACCAGAGAGGCTCAACCACACGTTGTAGTACTGGAAAATGAAAAATAAAGCACGATTAGGTCAACGCCAACTAACAGACTAACTAAAGAATCGTCTAATTAACAAACACAAATTTATTTAGTTTTTAATTTTGGTCCGATATAACCCAAAACAAGGCCGTGGTCTAGGCAACACGGAGTTTTCCTCCGGGGGCTTCCCCGGTTTCTCCGTGGCATCCCAACAATTACTCCATTCACACACAGAAGAAGGCAATGGCAAACCACTTCTGGATCATCTGCCAAGAACGCATATGAACAGGTCCCAGTCCGAGAAAAGGAGGGAAGGATCCGGTTCATATGG